TAACCCCAGCGCACGGGGTCTTGCGCCAGAGCCTCGTGCCATGCCCAGTGCCGAACCAAGTCGGGTCTGTTGAGCCCAGTATGCCTCGGTGCGTGGCCAGCAGCACGCCCGAGTGCCCAGTGACCTCGGGGACGCCCGACAGTACCCTTGTGGCCTTTGTCCGCGCCGAACTCGCGTCCAGCCGCACCTGTCCGTGCCCAGCTGCACGACAGGGCCTCAGTCGAGTCTCGGCCGCCCGACCGCCCGATTCAGCCGAGCTGGCGGTCCGGCCAGTCAGCGTACCGGCCGGTTTGATCAGCGGTTCGAGTCCGTTTTGATTCGTGACTTCCGATTCGAGTCTTCTTTCGGAATTTAAGTATTTTTCCGAGTGGAGCCAGTCCAGTCTTAGCATATAATAATCCGAGCATATTAGCAGATAAATAAATATTCTGAGCATGATACTTAGCATTATTTTGCTTAAATGTTTATGTACCCTAAGGAGAGTCGAGCCTCCGACCGCTATTCCAGTTTCAGCACTTACATCAGTTCAGTTATCAGGTGGGGGTCATGTACTGGATTCCACATTATATATAATATTTGTACCATGGCACAGGTATGTTCGAGATAGTTAGTTTTTCCAGGTGATTGCGACCTAAGGGCCTTCTGAGGTTTACCTGGTTTTGGTGGAGGCCGAGGGCCTTAATATTCCATCGGGGTGTGCACAAGAGCGACCAAGGCCGAGGGTCTTTTGACCACAGTAAAGAAAGAAAAGAAAAGTTTATAGTTTCAGCTCTTATATATTTATGTTCATGACACGTTATCATACATGATGTCTTATACAGTACTGGTCTTTGCGGAGCATAGTGGTTTGCTCACGCCCCCATTCTGTTTTTCAGGAGACGGAGTCGAGCGTGCCAAGTGAGATATGCATGATGAAGCGTGGTCATAACAGCGAGGACATTTTTACGCACATTTTATGTCCTTATTTTTATGATCATGTATTCATTCAGATATGTATGCATGTACTCTATGTATTTCTGTATTTCGGATGCTTCCACTAGCAGACTTTAGATTGTGCGAGACATTTCAGACATGGCAGGTATGATTCCATATCCATAGCAGATAGTTTGGTTGCATGTATTATTATGTCTGTGAGCAAGTTAAGTAAAGTTTTTATCTGTGTCATCACGCAACAAGTTAGTGTTTTCGAAAACCAAGCTCACACCACCTTTCGAAAACAAAAGCGAAAATTTTACTCTGATTTTTCAAAGCTAGTAAGGCGGGGTGCCACAAATCATCAATCATCAATTTTACTAACTCCCAAACGGGTTTTCCAAAATTCATATGTCGCCCAAATCGGGTTTCAATAACATTCATAATTTCTAAGGAGCATCTCCTTAACATTATTCAAGTCATAAAATCCAAATTCATAAATGCAATAGTACTCCAAGTTCTTATTCATAAAATCAAGAATTCATAAATGCGGAAGCATAACTAATAATAAAACCGATCATATAGACCGACCACCACTCGCTCTACTCTGCCATCGTGTCTGCCTCGATTAACCTAAAACGTGAATTTCAGGTGGGGATGAGCACAATAGGAAAAAAGTAGTGCTCACCACTATGCAGTAAACATTATTCATAATAAAGAAACAATGATCAATAATCAATAATACGTCAGGTATGGTCGTAGCACATATATGAAACAATCATCTATCCCAATCTTCCACCAATCATATCAATAATAGACTCGTGTGCACACCTACGTATAGACTACTGCCGACTATATATCGAAAGCCCACTAGTCTTACATCGCGTGTCCAGCCAGTAGGAGTAACCCGTCAGCCAAGGCCTCACCTTCGTCTTACCAACGGGGGTCGTCCAGCACAGGGACCTGTAACCCAGGTCTTACGGCTCACAATAATAAGGAGACTACCCAACGGGTACGTTCTATAGCTACGGGGATAACCGTTCGACGGACAGTATAGCTCACATCGAAGGCTACATGTTCCACATGCATACTTGATCATACCATAATTAAAACAGTAATAACATTTAAGGCATAGCAATTTTTCGAATTAAACCCACCTGACAACTCGGTAGAGAAGTCAACAAACTGGTCGGTAGGTTGAGGGCTCGAATCCTCAAACACCTACATTAAGTCCAGATGCTGCAATCAACATCTATACTGACTTAAACGGAATTCACAATTATTCTTAGCCGAAACACTTAATGAAACAAGTGACGAGTCGATTTACAGTTTCTATTCTAAACACCACATATACGAATAAACTAGTTTTAAATCACAAAATTGAGTTGATCAGGTTATCATGTGAATTTAACTCTGAAATTTTAACCAAAATTTCACCTCGCAGAGTTGAGAAAAACCACAAATTTTCAGCCCCAAACTCAAAGCATGCTATTTTATAAATTCCGAGCAAGTTTTTGGCAAAAACGGGCATACAACAACAACCAGACAATGAATGAATTTAGCCATGAAAATTTTACATAAGCAGTAACAACATTGGAACAGAAAGATATAAAATTTTAAGCAATTAATATCAAGTACCCGAATTTTAAAAATTAAAACTAGTTTCTGCTGATTTCAAATTTTCAATAAGGCTGAACCAAAATGAACCCAAATAAATCCCATATTTTCATATGCTGAAACTCATCACAAAATGATCCCAGTTATAATTTTTCAGCAATTTAGCACAACAGACCAATTTATTAAAATTAAATTACGAATCTGCAGAATTCATCAAATAATTTTTAAATATAGCAAACGAAGTCCAAAAATTCTAAAACTGTTACACGGCTTAAAAAACATAGAGGAAGACAACATAATCAAATTTCATAATTTTTGGAGCACAAATCAATTTAATTGGAATTTAACAAGATTCTGCTCAGAATTTCATACACTTATTAAAAATAGCTATACTTAACATTTTAATTCGAAATTTTTACACAACATGTATTTCACAGTAATACGAGCATCACACAATTGATCATAATTTATCTATCCAAACAACGACAATACAAAATCATTAATTCATAACCGACTCGGTTTACGACGAATCCGTCCGAAGTCTTCACTATAAGACTAAAGATGATACAAGTTCCAACCCACAGCGACTATATCACGAATCGACGAGGTCTCATTCGATTTCACATAATCGAAGAGTTCGTCTACAAACATTCAACATAAGGAACCGATTACGAACACATAAAATCATAGGCATTGATACATTTATAGAACACATTCAACATAACACTTAACCACGCAAATCACAATCAATACATATGAAGCGAAAAGAGATAAGATTCGAGTCGTCGGTACCGTTCTCGGGAATAGCTCGAAAACGGGACGAACGAGGGTTGACGGCTCGAACGGCATCACTTGGCTCGCGAGGGACTAACGGAGGAGCAGCAGGGTCGCGGCCTTCCTTGACGGGGCTCGGCTAAGGCTCGCGGTGGAGCAACGGCTCCAGTATGGCGGGGACGGGGCCTGCGCGTGGTGGTGGGTCGCCGAAAAATCTTCGCGGGCGGCTTGCCGTTTGTGAACAGAGGAGGGTTCACGGCAATGGAGGACGGGTTTGCCGGACTGGTCCTCGTCGGCAATGCTGCGATGGAAAGGGTCCATTGGAGAGGCTTCGCGGAGGAAGGTCTGAAACGGCCGGCTTGGAGGAGCAGCAGCCCGACGAGGAGCAACGCGGCGGAGGAGGGGCCTGCGATGATCCGCCGGTGATGACCTGCTCACGGAGGGAAAGGGAACTTACTGGAATCGCTACGCTTGGACCAGGATCGCCGGAGGAAGGTCGCATGATTGGTTCGCGTCGCCGGAAGTTGCAGAGATTCGCGGCAATGGGGAGGTCACCGGAGTGACAGGTTCACGCAATGGATACTCGCCGGTGGGAGAGGAATCACGGCGTTGCTGCGTGGGGTCGGGAAGGACTGGTTCGCGATCAGGGATGCCCGACTGGTTGCCGGTGCAGGCGCTGCAGCGGGATTGCTGCTGTGGTGTCGTGGCGTGTGGCGTTCATGTTTTGACGCGAGGGAAAAAGGGCGAGGTAGATAATGATCGGGGATGAGGCCGATTGGAAAATTTGCAGAGAAAGGTTGAGGATGATGATCGGATTTTCCTCGTGTACGTGAAAATGAGGTTGAGCGAGATGCACTTGCGTTGATGGAGAAACTCAGATTTTGAGAGGAAGGGTCTGACTGCGGGGCGATATTTGTCGAGCGTGAGAGAGAGATAAAGCTATATAGATTAGGTTTTCTTCCCTTTCTCCACAACACACACACACACGGATTTAAAGAAAACCGGGCGGGTTTGGGCTGAGTGCCGGTTCAGTTTCGCGGGTCGGTTCGTCAAACGGTTGGGGTTTCGATTTTTCTCAGGCTCGATTAGACGCAATATTAATCGGTTCGACTCGAAAATTAAAACGCACGATAAAATAAATAAACCGGATTTTATTTATATTTATAATACACACAATTTAATTATAACATATTAATATTAATAATAATACAAATACACAAATTTATAATTATATAAGAATAACATTTAGACATTTAATTACAAGTTGACAAATAAATAATAAAAAAAATTAGACAATTAGATATTTAATCGCAATTTAACAAATAAATAATATTAAACATTCAATAATAATAATAATAATAATAATAATAATAAAAATAATATGTGTCCGGCACCTGGGGGCACCTGGGGAACACAGGAAATGAAATCAAAATCGACAATGTTCGGGACACAAATCGTAACTCCTTCAATAAAAAATTTTTGTGGTCGAGATGCGCAAGAACTTAACCGAATCACTTGCAAGATGGAATTCCTCGAAACCGAAACAATTATCTAGGGCCAAGCTCGCAAGAGTCGGGCAGCCTAACGATAACACGTCGAACGACTCACTCGACAGGATTACACTATAGAGACTCAATCTCGTGAGACGAGACAACAAGGATGCGCTTTCGCGGTGACACCAAATCCATGGGGACCTTATGGACAACGTCTCGAGATTTGGGACATCGATTTCGATGCTATGCCCTCCGATCCTCTTGGAATCACACAATTCAAAGTGCTTGAACTCCGGCGATGCCTCCTCGCTCACCCTAACGATTGCCATCTCCCAACAACTATTAATAACCAGGCGCTTGAGCAAAGGGCAGCCCAACATATTCGTCTCGAAAGTGCCGCCATCAACTTGGACCTGTTCGAGGGTGAGCGAGCGCAAACTTTTAAATCGCACGCTCTCGACCGGGCTCAGCCTGCATTTGCTTAGGTGTAATTCTTCGAGGGACTCGAAGACTGCCGATGGTAGGTCATAATACGCCGGAGTATATGAAAGAAAGTTGAGTTTGAACGCTTTTATATTGAGGACGGCTAATATCGGAATCCATTTGTGGGGAAGGGAAGTGATCGGCCGTGAGTCGGGACTCGATAAGTGGAGATGGAGTTTGTGTATGGACAGATTTTGATCAAGGTATCCTTGTAGGGAACGGTCGACTACCGAGACAAAGTTTTGTTGTGTAATGTTGAACAATTTTTAGGAAGAGTCGAGGTTAGGGCGAGTTGATCCTTTGAGGCGCCATGGTCTACATAGGAGGAGAGAGAGAATGCGGTGCAGTTTAGAGCGGTTTTGATCACGGCAACGTTGTAGAGTTCGATCAACGACGGGGTTGACCAATTCTTCGGAAGAGTCGAGGTTGGGTTGAGTTGATCCTCTGGAGGAGTTGAGGGAGACGGACTTTTCTTGTGTGTCTTCGAACCATTCTTCGGAAAACTCGAGGTTGGGGCTGGTTGAACCTATGTGGCGCCATTGTTTAGAGAGTACACAAGTTCTGACAGCTTCTTTTTTGGAGAGGAAACAGAGAATGTGGTGAAGTATAGGTATTGGCAGTTGGGATATTATGTCGTCCATGGCTGCGGAGGTATTTGCCTATGTTTCTGCTTTCTTTTTTTTCTAAAGAGTTTATAGAAATTGTTTGCTAATCGAAAGCTTCTTCAATCAGTTTCTTATGACTATGAATTCTATTAGAAACATGTAAAAGCACTTCTAATCTTATGAGTTTGTTAGAAAATGAGTTAGGACGAATAGATGTGAATGCACAAAATATCTGACAGTTTGTTAAACAGATATGCGTACTTCATGCAGTCTAGATTTGTTACACAATATCTCTAATAAGTCTCAATTTCAAGTCACTTAACAAACCATATTGACAAAGTGAGTTGTACGGACAGGATTAAACATAAATCAACGGCTAAGATTAACATTTAAATTTTTTTCTTTGCCCTAATTTAGTTTCCTGACTACATATGGGTATCTTTTCTCATGGATGGCGGCAAAGGAATGAAAAAAATTCAATTCTGCCAAATTTTGTCAGGCAAACATTTAAATAAATATTTTTGTTTTTAAGACAGACTTCATTTCTTTTCTTCATCCTGTTATCAATTGAAGAACTAACATCTGAATAACTCAAATTAAGCACACTGATATAACCACATAAGGATAACCCGGTCTGGAGGCTCCTTACTCGACCGACGAACCGCTCGAATTACTCGCAAGTCGAGATGACTTCCCTAAAGTCGACTCCACAGAGAGCGGTCGAGAAGAGACAGGAATCTGTCTAGTCGACTCCCACAAGTCGACTTTATTCTGTCGACTTCCACTAGTCGACATCAACATAAGAAAAACAACAAGAGTGCAACCTCCTAGCATCCCGATACTTTAAGACGACTCCCAGCAGTCGACTTAAGTAAGATGACTCTCTGAAGACAACTTCCATTCGAGGGAGTTAACTAAGCGTAGCCTCCGAATCCTCATATGAGCATAAGTCGACCTCCTAGCTCTCAAGGTCGACTCTGTACATCTCGAGGATCAAAGAAGTGATGACGATTCACCATACTTACAGCACATCCGAAGCTCTACATATTACAAGGGATAAGAAGGAATCTTGTGATGACTCAGCAACAAGGGGAGACGAATCGACCAGGGCATTTTGGACCTTCTAGGTCCACCGACTTGGGCATTTTGGGCACTTCAAGTAAGTATTCACTCCTATATAAAGGAGATGAGGTAACCCCAAACCCTAACTCTCATTCATTCCCACTCTCCCCCATAGCTGCTGCGCAGCATCTCTTCGTCACTCTCATACTGACTTGAGCTTCGGAGGCTCTACGCCGGAAACACCTCCGGCGTTGAGTTTTTGCAAGTATCTCGCGGTCTAGCAACGATTTGGAGGCGGTTCAAGCAGATCTGAGCTCACATCCACTGGTTTACTCCAGATCTGGAAGTAGACCCATCATATTGGCGCCGTCTGTGGGGAGTTCTTGGAGGAAGAAAGAGCTTCACACCCAGCTTCGATCTGTTTGCGGATGGCGGAGAAGGAAGGTTTGCAGAGGAATCTGAACGAGGAGTTCAGGGGGACGTGGATGGACAAGAGGCCACCACCACTCTCCACCACCAAACACCCAGTGATGCAGATGATGGGAATGCCACCATTTGGAGGACCTCCACAACCAGGACTGACGTTGGGCGGAGAAACTCCTGTCACTCCGACTGGAGTAAAGTTGCAAGTGTTGACCCAGGCAAGGACAAGTCAAAACCCTAACCCAGATGGAGAGAAGGAACCAACGGAGATGTCTCGACGCGAGGGAAAACAGATACAGGAGGTACCGGAGCAGACCCAACCCCGTGTCGAAGAGCAGACCTTGACGATGACGAGGAGCGAAATGCAAAAGATGATCGCTGAAACCGTGGCTGCCCAGATGAAGCAAATGGCGCAGGTCGAGCAGCAGCCTCGAGTCGAGTACCCACCCCGGGTCAAGCAGCAGCCCCGTGTCGAGTACCCGCCTTGAGTCGAGCAGCAACCTCGTGTCGAGCAACAAGCCCAGTCAAACGTACAACAGAACAGAAGGGTGGACGAGGAAGAATCCTCCATTCGAACTATCAATCGACAAGCGAGGGACAAGACGCTAGAACAACTATTAGCCCAGGTCGTGACTTACAGGCTCGAGTCGGTGGGAAGAAGAGCAGAGGAGCAAAAGAACACCCATTCTTGCTGTAGATCCTGAGAGCCGACTTACCCAAAAGGCTTCAGGGAGTTGAACATATGGTACGACGGTTCCACTCTCGACATCTGAGGAGTTTCGAAAATATGGCAGTACTTCATCGCTATAGCGACCCAGTGCAATGTCGCGCTTTCTTGACGACTCTGACAGAGTCGGCCCAAGACTGGTTTCATCAGTTACCAGCTGGGTCGATTAGGGATTTTGACAGCTTTAGCTCGAGCTTTCTTAACCAATTCGCAAGTGTGAGGGTGCAAGAGAAGTCCTACCTCTCGTTGATTAGCATGCAGCAGAAGAAGGGCGAGTCGTTGCGGGAGTATGTGGCGAGGTTTACCAAGGCGTGCGTCGAGTGCCCAGCGGCAACAGAGGAAATCAAATCAGGAGGACTGACGAGAGGACTACTACCAGGGTTATGTAAGAACTCTTTGGCCAAGCGACCTGGTAGGTGTTTCGATGACGTGTTGGGAAGGTGTGCCAAATATATGAATGTCGAGGAGGCCGAAGCCGATTACTTGCAAAGTGTGAAAATATCCCAGACTGGCAGTCGAGATGACAAGAAGGAAAAGAAGGGTCAATCGACAGGAGAAAGAAGAGGATCACCAAGAGCTGACAGGGGTGAAGGCCGATCTAGGGGATGGAGACCGATTCAATACACACCCCTGTCGGCTCCTCATGCGAGAATTCTGGAAGTAATGGAAAGGGAGATCCGCGACGATGTGGTGAGATGGCCGCGGACGAGGAAGGATGGACCCATGAAGCCCAAAAGCAACTTATATTATCGATTCCACAAAGATTACGGGCACAACACCGACGACTGCCGACATTTGAAGGATGAGATTGAAAGGCTGATAAAGGCGGGCCACTTGAAGGAGTTCATATACAAAGATCGCCAGAGGTCGAGCAGGAGGCGAGAAAGAAGTAAGAGTCCTTGCAAGAGGGCGAGGTCACCAGAGAAGGAGGAACTCCCACCAAAAAGAGGAGTAATTAACATGATTTTTGGAGGGTCAACTGATGGAGATTCCAATCGACCAAGAAAGGCGTATGCTCGAGGCCGATATGCGAAAGTCGAGGTGCAGCAGGTCGACGAGAGTGGACCAGTGATGAACTTTGGACCTGCGGACATTGGTGAAGTCGAGAGGCCGCATAATGATGCCCTGATGATAACTGCGCAGATATCGGGATATGAGGTGCAAGGGTGTTTGTCGACACTGGGAGTTCCGTAAACGTGATTTTCTATGAATGCCTCAAAAGGATGGAGCTTGACATTGAACTTACGCCTCTACATACATCACTCTTTGGATTCAACGGTCGGAAGTCGCTCCCCTAGGAGAAACCACACTCGCTGTCGTCTTGGGTGAAGGCAACTTGAGAAAAGTAAAAATGGTGAGATTTGTGGTGGTCGATGTCGAGTCGGCTTATAACGTGATTCTTGGGAGGCCGGCGCTCAATGCCTTCCAAGCAGTCGTGTCGACCTATCACATGAAGTTGAAGTTTCCCGTAGGAGATCGAGTGGGAGAGGCTCGAGGGGATCAGAAGTTGTCGAGAACATGTTACCAGATCGCAGTCAAAACCAACCAACGTGCTGAGGTCAAGGAAGGCAAGAAACCAATGACGAGTGAAAAGAGGCCGAGAGGGAGTGACCTCGAGCCCCATGGGGAGTTGATGGAAATCCAAATCGGAGAATCAAAAGACCAAACAACCAAAGTCGGGAGAGAGTTGGAGGATGAGTTGCGAGAACAGTTAGTGGGATTGCTGAAGGAATTCAGGGACATATTCGCTTTTTCTCCTGAAGAATTGATGGGAATCGACCCGGATGTTATGGAGCACAAACTAAATGTCGACCCCCTTAGAAAACCCGTAAAGCAGCGACTCAGGCATCATGGTGCTGAAATCGACAAAGCAATCAAAGTCGAGGTGGACAAACTACTAAAAGCCAAACACATCAAGGAAATCCAATTCCCCGAGTGGATATCTAACACAGTGATGGTGAGGAAAGCATTAAACAAATGGCGTATGTGCATTGACTTTCGCGACTTAAACCTGGCGTGCCCTAAAGATCATTATCCTTTGCCTAGAATCGACCAGCTAGTCGACTCCACAGCTGGTTGCGAGTTGCTGAGCATGATGGACGCATTTCAGGGATACCACCAAATCCCCTTGGCTCCGGAGGATCAAAGTAAAGTGAGTTTCACGACGAGTAAGAGGACATATTGCTATGTCGTCATGCCCTTTGGCCTCAAAAATGCGGGAGCAACCTACCAGCGGCTGATGGATCGAATATTCAAACCCCAGACCGGCCGGAATATGGAAGTGTACGTTGATGATATCCTGGTGAAGAGCAAGTCCTCGACTTCACACCCAGACGACTTAAGGGAAACTTTCAACACCCTTAAGGCGTTTGGGATGAAGTTGAACACCCGAGCAAGTGTGCCTTTGGAGTGAAAGCGTGGCGATTTTTGGGATACGTTGTCACAGAAAGGGGAATCGAGGTGAACAAGGAGAAGGTGAAGGCCATACTCGACAT